ATATATAGTGACCTAATTTTCTTGGGAGGAGATGCATTAAGAAATGGGAGCTAGTTCAACTGGAACCTGAACAAAGGCTAATCAGGATGTCAGTAGTTACCTAACATGGTGGCACAGTAGCAGCATCCTATGTAGCAAAAGTTGTTTATTGATTTATTTGCTTCATGTAAATACGCTTGGCATGGAGTCAATTCTAACTCATAGCAACCCTGTAGGACCAAGTAGAATTGCTCCATAGGGTTTCCAAGGCTGGAATCTTTACAGAAACAGAATGCCCCATCTTTCTCCTGGGAGAAGCTGGTAGGTTTGAAGTGACGAACATTTGGTTAATACCCAAGTGCTACCCAGGCTCCTTTCCATGTAATTAGTCCCTTTAAAATGTCAAAATAATCAAACTGCCTTCCCCCCCACATTCTGCAATTATTAGGGTTTATTTTGACTTAATCGTTTGTTCTCCTTCATAAGCTTGCTAAGTAGGAATGACCATGAAACAAAAAGCCAATTCCAGTCATTCCCACCGTAAACATTATACTAGCAGTTGGCTAATGAATCAGTACATTTTTCTGAGCTAGAGACATCTACCGTGAACTTGAGTATCTTAGAGCAATTTTATTAAACGGATCTTTTCTAACTGAAAAGCTAAGGACCAAGCTTTTGACCACACTAATGTACATACCTCTGTTTTACCTGCTGAACAGCAGATTAATCTCACCCATTGGCTATTCTTGTTGTAATAAATGTACCATATAGAGACAACTTTGCAAATGTACAGAGTACCAAATAAAATACTTACGTTCAGGTAGTGGAATGAGTGGTATAAACTTGCTGAACACACTCTTTGTAATAGAAGGACTGGATACAAAACATGAATAATTGCCTTTGTCAGATGCCTCCACATTTGCAATGTAGAGATTGCCATTGGTCTGTGACACAAATCTCCGTTTATCCATTGTGATAAATACAGGAAATTCATTTAGAAGCCAGCGATAGCTAAGATCATCTAGAAGAAAATATTGTCTTCTAAATAACTCTTCTCCAAAAGGAAAGGCTTTATTTTCTGGTAAAAATCTATCACATAATCTAATCTAAACTATTGGAGAGGAAATGTTGGAACTAGGTCAAGACAAATTTAGTACAAAGTTTCTTATAATTACCATATTTTGAGTGTATTTAAGCACTTTTTGAAGCAATTACATCTGTGTATCTATATCTATTATATTTTGGGCTATTAATATTACTACTGACCTTTCATTGATGACAAAATAAGATTTAGAAAGGTTAAATAACTTGTTTAGAATTTATTGGTCCTTAATTTGAATTACCACCATTCATTTGTCAGTTTGTTGAACTGTGATGGCTTGCTTGTGGCTGTGATACTGGAAGCTATAACACTGGTATGTCAAATACCAACAGGGTTACCCATGGTGGACAGAATTCAGCTTCCAGACTAAGAAGACTAGAAAGGAAACTGGGAATCTACTTTTGAAAATATGGTTGTTGTGGTTGTTAGGTTCCATCAAGTCGTTTCTGACTCATAGTGACCCCTTGCACAGCAGAATGAAACACTGCCCGATCCTGCACCAGCTCCATGATCCCTGCTATACTTGAACCCATCATCACAGCCACCGTGTCAATCCATCTCGTTGAAGGCCTCCCCCTCTTT